GCCAAGATCAGAGACAGGCCGCTTTTAACTGTTGTCACCCCCATCAAGCTAATATTCTCATCCTGGAACATCCCACTTCTAGGGCATCAGTAGAGCTGTTATGTTACTTAACTGATTAGTCAAACAGTTATTTGACCAAAGTCAAGTATTATCAATACACCAAGAAGCCATGATGATCGAAGAACTGACCTGCTGTAAAATCAGAATAACTGGATTTATAATTGCTATTCAACAGTTGCTATCATCTGGTTTCATTGTAATAATCTTTCTAGTTTTATTTCACAACTATAAACTACCCATTCCAAAATTAAGGATAAAGAGGAAAATGATTCAGTGAATCACAAGCATTCACAGAAATTTAGGGAAATGCTGTTAAAAATTTAGTTAATAGCAATTACTAGACTGAAATCCTGGTGCATGCTTTCAATGAGTGGAAGCACCTGGGAGCCATAGGACATGCTGCTGTTTCTATATGATGAAAGGAATTACAAGGGACTCAGAAAAGCTGAGAAAAACAGAGAATTTATTATCAAACGTCATTTCTTGCCCATGATATCATCACCTTTCCATGGGCATAAGTTATGAAACAAGACTTTGCCACTAATTAATTAACTTATAACAACTATTCTTAAGTTTCTTGTATCACAGTAACCACAGTTTACTCATCATACCATAAGCACGGTGAGCTCTAGTTTTCCTTGTAGAGTTAGCATTAGGAATGAAAGAAAATGTATCATCATTACAGTTATGCCATACTTCTAAGGTGCTCCAAGAGCAGAGATAGCTAGTCATGTATGTCTTGGTCAACCTCTAGGTTGGATTACTGTGACCTTAAGTGGAGCTGCTGCCCGACGTGGTGGCGCTGCGGGCTAAACCGCAGAAGCCTCTGTGCTGCAGGGTCAGAAGACCAAGCAGTCGTAAGATCGAATCCACGCGACGGAGTGAGCGCCCGTCGCTTGTCCCAGCTCCCGCCAACCTAACGGTTCGAAAGCATGCAAATGCAAGTAGATAAATAGGGACCACCTCGGTGGGAAGGTAACAGCGTTCCGTGTCTAAGTTGCACTGGCCATGTGACCACGGAAGAATGTCTTCGGACAAACGCTGGCTCTATGGCTTGGAAACGGGGATGAGCACCGCCCCCTAGAGTCGAACACGACTGGACAAAAATTGTCAAGGGGAACCTTTACCTTTACCTTTACCTAAGTGGAGCTGCTGCCGCCATCAAAATGTTCCAAAAATCAGCAAGTGCAGAATGTTGTTGTTGGTAAATTGACTCTAATATGTTTCATAGAAATTAATATTCCCATTACGTGAGATACAGTGGTTTCCAGCCTTAAATGATCTATGGCCAAGTTATTTGAAGGATTAGAGTCTAAATGTTTCCAGCTAGACTGTTTACAGGATTGTCTTCTATCAGTGAGCCTCTGACTTTAGAGGCATGGCAGGTTAGAGCAAAGACAGCTTTTTCAACAGCAGTCCTAAGACTGTAAAGGGACTATTCCTGGGAGGCTCACCTTGCTCCCTCCTATCTTTCAGGCAAGTAGTCAAGATATTATTTTGCCAGTCTTTGCATTTGTTTGACTCTACCTATTTGGTATAAAGGTTGTTTCAACCCTCTGTTGTTGATTAATTCTCAGTTCTTTACTTTATTGTGATATTATTGTCTATGCCTTTACTCTATTAGCCAGAAAGAAGGCTCTTGTACCCAGAAAGCAGAATATAAAGCTTCTGCAGCAACAAAGTGAACAAATAAGGCCCAATCCTCCTCTTAAGAATGGAAAGGTGGTCCCAACAGCTTCATGGCACTCCAGAGAAGCTCCAAACACCCTTCCAAAGCTTTCTTCCCCATTTTAAAGCTTGGAACTAAAAAGGGAACAGAAGAACACACTGAATTTGAGGCACACCAGGGAAGGATCCCAGGCGTTGCACCATCAGGAGACACACACCGCGACCATAACTGTCTGGTTGCTATCATAGCAAAATCATGTGCATAAAAGACACACAAATAATAAGTTAACTATCTTGTAATGCAAGTGTAGAGGGTAGTGCATAGAGTGGGAGACTAGGACTCAAGAGGCATGGGTTCAAATCCATGTTGGGATGCAGAGAAAATCACCATCTTCTTAAAACTGCACAGCTGAAAGGGACCTTATGAATCAAGTCCACCCTTGTCAAGGAGGAACAGTGAAAAATCAAACTCCCAACCTCTGACTCCACAGCCAGATACATAAACCAGTGAGCTATCCAGGCAATTACAACATATATGTGACACCACACCTTCATTATACGTCCAATTACACTGATTACATGTAACTGAAAGTCCAGTTATAGTAAAAGGGAAGTTGAAAATAATTCTATAAGCAATACTAAGCATTTGTTAATCACTATGAACAATGTTCTCGGTACTTAATAAAAACTGAAATAAACATTTTAGAGAGGTATATATTCTGACAAATGTGATTTTCCCATTTAGAAGCATAGAAAATTTACTAATTTAGGATAATATGGTAAATAAGTGCTTCAAGTCAGCAAATAGGTTTGGAAGAACTATAGTGGAGAATAAATTCAGCACTCTGTCTACGTGACTGCATTCTGTCTCTGTGCTTCTCCTTCATCCTACTTAGCTTGAGCTAGGACTCATAGACTTAATTTGTACAGAAAGATACCCAGCAAACCAACTGCATATTGTTATTCAGCTTTATCAGATATTTACAAGGGCCTTTCATAAAATAAAATAAAAAGTATGAAGTGAGCGAGAGCTCAGCTAAACCAACAGAAGGAGACCTAGAAATTAGAGGTCAAGAGTTAGTACCACACACCAAAGTATTTTGCATTTTAGGCAAACCAAACTCTTTATCTTTTCTATCCTATTCCATGAGTTACTATAGATATTTGAGTGAGCTGAAAGACCATGCTCAATAAAAATATGGTGAGAAATGCAGCACTGCATTGTGTGGAACTACTCCTACCCAACTCAGCATTGAAAGTTACTAGTGCCACAAAGAATTAATCTTTGAGAGGTCAAAACTTTGAAACAAGCTCTCTCTACTCTCTTACAAATGTAGTTTCTGAATGCAGAACAAGACACCTACTGCTCTAAGAACCTGCAGTTCCATCGCTTTTATTTTATACAAACTGCAGAATAAAAACAAAAGAAACAAAAAAAAATGTTTTCAGTGTGAGTGTCTAAGGTTGGCAGAATCACAAAAGATTCATACCATCTACCTATCTGTCATAAATGTTGTCAGCAACTAGGCAAACAGGAAAAGGCAAATACAGCACTGAGGAAAATGTTGTCAGATCCTTGATTTTCTAAACTCAAGGCTCCTTTTGAACATTAATAGAGAACTTGTTGCACACAGACTTCTCTTGCAGCACCCACAACCTGCACTGGGAAGCCCTGTAGTCTTACCATGTATACAAGGACTTTAATTACGTATCAGATTCAAGAAGCCTGAGTGCTACTTCCTTAGTACCTCCTCACCCCATGGAATGTCACATACTACTTCCACCCATTTCCATTCCACTTGTTGAGTTCAGAAACCATCCCCATTCTTAGAAGCAGCCTCTAATTTTCTTCATCCAGTGCATCCTCCAAAGGCCCGCCAGAGCTGCCTGCAGACCGACATAGATAGCATCCCTCTTCCATAAGGCACTGAAAGAGTTTGGCTTCTCACCTCCAAAACCATCAGCAATAAGATCCTCATCTCCTTGCTGGGCCATCTAAACAACAGCAAACCCCTCTATTTAATCATGGAGAGAGAGGAGGAGGAGGAAAAGAGGGGATCCTCACCCTCGCGACTCTGGCACCCTCCCAGGTGTACTACTTCCTTTCTCACAAACATGCCTACTCCCCTCCCCCTCCCCCCCCCCGCAACTGGATTCCCCTAAACCCGATCTGGCATCTTTCCCCACAGCCCCCCACACTCCCCTCTCCCAATCCCTCCCCCAAAACACACACACGCAGCCCATTCAACGTGCAGATAACACCCCTCCCGCCCCTTTCCCAGGCTTACTTATTTAATAACAGTACACAGATACGGTAAGTGCAGGGATGTCCTTCCAAAGATACAACAACACAGCCAAACTCTGGGGAATACAATAAATTAACTTCATGAGCATAAACTACATATAAAAGCATGCAGTAAGCCAGCCTCACATGACATAATAATTATTCATTACACTGACTGTGGTACAGGCTAAACACTAACCAAGAACAGGGCTTCTTTGTGTTAGGCAGTGGGAAAATGTAGAATGATATACAGTCCCAGGCCCTCAGATGAACAAGACAGATCCAGGTTAAGTGAAAGACATAATGAGTGATTTCATACATTAACAAACACAATATTCATTTGGCATTTTGTCTAAAGCATGGGGGGGAGAGAGACTAGGGTGAGCATGCTGTACTCTTCAACTCATTTCCTTTTTCACAGTATCATTTGAATTGCACTTATTTAATGCAAGACCCACTGATTTCAATAAAACCCACTTTAGGAGGGGGCGGCACGGCGGCGGCGGCAACGTCTCCCCCCGGCGACGGTGAATTCGCTCTCTTCCCGCAAACACACACAGGCTCCATTGTCCGCCAGCCAGTCTCCCTCCTCCTCTTCTCCCACATGGTACCGCCCATCACCCCTCTACCTCTTCTCTCTCCCCCCCCTTTAACGAATGAAACCGCCTATCGTGCACTCCCCCGCCCCACCCAATCAATGGAACGTCCCCTACTCACTTGCGGGCTGACTTTGACTCCTCAAGCCATTGGACCCGCCTCTCCTCCCAGCAACGAAAATGGTATTGTCCCGAAGGAGAAAGGGAAGGAGGAGGAGAAGGAGGGGGATAAGATCTACTCCCCTTTTCTGTCTCTCTAATGGTATCAACTGGTTCCTTAAAGACACAGGCCTGAATACATGGGCCCTTCCTCCCCTGTAAGCAGTACCGCCCTTACCTCCCTCCATTCATCCTGGCACCGCCTCTTCAATTAGCATAGACCAACCCCATACCTCAAGGTAGTTTTCTTCCCACCGCCTCTTCCTTTTAAAGACGCAGCCACCCAATGGCACTTCTTAAAGGGACACGCAAGCCTTTTTTTTTTTTATGCCTCCCTAGCAGCCTCCATCAGGAACTCCTCAGAATCCCCGTAGTAAGGGATCAGATGGCATAAAAGCCTCTCGTGGCACCAGGTTGGCTGTCGCGAGTCATCATGGCTTTCCCTCTTCGGGAGAGGGAGGCTAGCCAGCCAGAGCGCGAAGGAAGAAGAGAGCTGGTCCCGAGCCTAAAGCCACACCCAGGCAGGACACACACCATGCACTTCCCACACCTTAGGGCCTTTCGACTCAAAGGTACGGCGGCCACATCTTTGCATGCTGGGAAAGAAAAGGAAAACACCTCCCGAGCCTGTAATGTGTAAGACCGAAAGCAGGCTCTTACTAAAAAAAAAAAACGAGAGGCAAAAGAGGTGCCTGGGAGAGGGAATCGAGAGAGCAGGAGCAGAGCAGAAACAATGCAAGACACGTTTCTTCTCGTGGTGTCTCCCCCTCATTCCAACCTCCAGCATAGCAGACTCTGAATCAAAGGCAACGTCTACACCACCCTACTCCGTTGTAAGCAGACACCGGAATTAAAAGCCAAACCTTCTGACCCCATGGAAGGTTAGGAGGCTTCCTCTTATTAATTTGGGATTTGCATTCCATCTATTTGGTAAATACGCTCCACTCTCAAATCAGTTCCTCTTCTCTTACACCTCCTCCACCCATCCTGAGCCTTATTACATAACTCTGGAGGCTATCAGCAAAAGCAAATGCATTTATTGTTTCATTTCACTTAATGCACTTCAGCTCCATTAAAACTGGTGGGGATACTGCCATTGGGTTTCATATGTGTGTAAAGTGTGCCCACTGACTCTTTATTGGTGAAATAAGTACAGAAAAGCTAAAGAAAACTAAAAGCTGTGCATATTGATTTAATATATCCGCTCTTGGCCTGTGGATTGTGGCTGAGTACAGTGATCTACAAACCACAATGGCTGTGGTAAATTTTCAGGGGCTAAATTCGAGCATCTATCATTTCTGCACGTTTTGCCAATTAAGTGGCAATGTGGTGAAATGAAATATTGTGGGCTCTTTTCTTCATACAACATATGACATTTCCCTCTCCACCAGTCACTCTTAAAAAGTTCAATCTACCAACTTGCTCTTCTAGATTTTCTGTTTCTTTCTCTCAACCTCATCTCTCCTGAGAATTTCCCACTTCATGTTTACCCCCTCCCCACCCCCCACAGCCTAAAGGCTGAGGACAGGATGTGTACAAACTTTGCAGGTATAGTTTTCCACTTTGGGCCCAACACAATTCATGAGATAAGCCTGCATTCTCTCTTTTATTCTGTTTCAGAGTACAGGAATTCAGGAGTATTTGCAACTGCACGTCCAGTTGCCCTTTGCAGTTACAAGTAAACAAGCAATCGAACACAAGCTTTAATGGAAGATACATGCATTCTGTTATAGAACACAGACTGATTAATATGCAGCTTTATTAAGGGGAAAATATTGTTTATATAAGTACTATCTAACAAGCCAACAGCTTATCTGATGGATGCCATTAAAATGCAGGGGGAGAGGGCTGTGAATCAAACTACTACACAACTATAAAGCAAAGGAGGGACTTAACTCCAAATAAGGTAGCAGGAAGATGCTTGGAGAAAAAAATACCTGAGAGGTCTAAGCACAATTGGACAAATCAAAATATTGGTGGCATTGAACTTTTATTGTCATAGGACTAGTAGAAAAGGTTGGAAGAAAAGGCAAGGAACAGTGAGGAAGAACACAGAGACAAAAAAATTGAAGTGCAAATACTGCTAGGCCTAGAATGAGCAACAAAGAAGAGTTGCTTCTTTGGAGAATGCTGATAGTTCAAGAGGCTTCAATTGGTTCCAGGTCACTGGAGTTGCCCATGCAGTTTTGCAATAAGAAACTGTGGGCAAAGAGAGCCCTCCAAGTCCCAGGAGCCTTCTATGACATAAGATTCCTTTATATATACCTTTGGAGAGCAGATGTGGGACCATGTGTCTTCATAGGTCTGTATATTAACCAAAGGCAAGTAAGAACAAGAGAGGAGAGAGAACTGGGGAAAATATATAAGAGTAAAATGCAAAGCTAGCAACAGCAGGCAGCCAGACTTTGCTGGGATTCACGGAGAAAGCCGAAGAACAGGAAGAACTGTTCACATACCTTTTAAAAAAAATCCTCAGGTTTTAGTGAGGACTTCCCCCCCCCAAAAAAATGGGCTGTAGATAAGAGTGTGTCTGCAGTTGTAAATAATTACCACTATGTGTAAAAGTGAAGGAAAGGTGGTGAAGTCAGCACCACTCTTGCCATCGGTTATCTTTGTGTGAAACAGAACAGGGAATCTAGAATGAGTTACTTCTCTCCTTTGACCACACCCAGAATTCCACTACATGTTCTGGGTGGAGGCTCCAGTCCTTTTCTAATGTTAATTACTACTGATTGATTTAAATAGGAATGGAAATATTTCCCCTCATCAAGACTCTGATGGCCAATGAAAGCTGTGTCCATGATTGTCAGATAAGTCACCTTTCCTTGCCCAACCTGTGCTTTGCAGCCTTTTCATTTTTTGGGAGGTGGTGGTGAGGAGGCCTCAACCCCTGTTAGCCCAGTCTATTATGGCCAGTGGTAAGGATTTCTGTGAGTTACCTCATGGTGGATACCATGGATGAGGAACACATGGCCTTCCAGATGTTAATAGACTACAGTTCCCATGATCCTGCGCCAGTGGCTATTCTAGCTAGGGCTGATGGGAACTGCAGTCTCATAATATCTGAAGGGTTACAAATTACCCACCAGAATACCAGAGACTGTGGCCATTTTGCAGCTGCACTTCCAAAAAAGCTATTGGCCTTACATAGTACACTTCTCCCTTCAACAACAGACCCCATGTAGTTCAAAATCTGTGTATCACTCCTATGTCCTCAAAAATGTAACTAAAGACTCTATCAGAGGAGGAAAATGGAAACATGCTCTCTCATCCTCTCCCCAACAACAGTGTGACCTCCACCAACCTGCATCAGCCTCTCAACGTGCCCCAATACCCTTCTCAGCTGCCACGTCAGGAGAGGGGCCGAGCCAAGTCACCAGGGGCTGCCACACTGCCAACAGTTGCAGCCCTCTGAAATCCACCTTTCTCAGGACATTTCTGAAGACAAATAACAGCACAGTGTTTATTTAATATTTATTTATTGGGGGGGAATCCCCATATAACCCAAGCCATGCTGTTCAGACCTATGCAACTCAAGGAAAAAAGTGTATATATTTCACAAGATTTCACAGATATAAAACCAATATCCAAATAATGATCAGTAATCTATGTCTTTTGGTGGAGAAGAAATTGACTTTACTACTTTGATAAATAATATGGGAAGTACTTCTTGAATTGAGACTGTCAGATTCACAGGGCTTGAAAAATCCACTCGTCCACTCATCTGTGATGAGTGAAAAAATGCTGCTTGACGAGCCACAGCTCCCTCCGTCTTTGCCTCCTTACCCTCTCTCTCTCTTTCTCTGATCCTGCAGTCCTCCCCTCCCCCTTCCCATTGCAAAAGGAAAAATAGCCCTCTTCTCATGAGAAGAGAGTTTGAGCAGCATATAGATATATAGTTCTGCAGGAGAATGTAGAGTAGTCCCATGCTGGAGAATATGGAGATTCCCTGCTTCCAATTTCAACCGAACGACCTGACTCCTTAAGAGGCTGGGCACTTTTTATTTTTATTTATTTTATTAGATTTATACCCCACCCATCTAGACTGGGTCTACTCTGGGCGGCATTACAAAATATAAAAACAATAGAACCAATAACTATGTAAAGCTTTTGCTTTCAGTTTTATTTTTGCTGGATACAGTCAAATGAAATGCATTCAAAATACAAGCTTCATGACCCCACAGGCACGCAGGTAATAAAGCAACCCAAATCTGAGGGTATATTTATTTTGGGTTTGTACACAATGGTATGTCGAAAGTGCCGAGTTTAAATTTAAATGTAAGTTTAAACATAAATTGCAAGGCTATACTGTAGTCCAGTCATGCTGATTGGTGAAATTTTTGTCTGACTGGTGAGACATTCTAAAAAAAATTCAAGCCCTGCAGATTCATATTATTTTCCATTGTCTACATGACTCACAAGTCAATGTGAATTGGCCCAGATTCCCTCTCCCGGGTTGTTTTTTTTCATCTATTGCTGGGGCTTTTACTTTTTTTCCAATCAAATACATTTGCATCAGTTCAGGTGATGTGATCACTTGAGCCAATACAGCTTCATGGCTGGATGGGCAACCAGAAGCTGGCTTTTCCAGTTTCCTAGTTCTGGATGGTGAGAAAGGAAGCATTTCCAAGGATATAGGTAGGAAGGAAGGAAAGAAAGAAAGAAGGAAGGAAGGAAGGAAGGAACTTAGCCCTTCTTTAGAGCTAATTTGCTTTAGCCAACCACACAAGAATCGGAGAGTGTACAAATGGGAGTCTCACAACCTGGAAGAGTTCTTGGATCTAGCCGTGCCCACTAGGGGTTTCTGGGAGATGCAGTTGAAAAAAAGAGCAAGTTTTCCAAGCAATGCTATAAACCATTCAATGAAAATGATTAGGAGTATATTGAGAACAGAAAATGTTTGTTCTCCCCAAACATAATTAAGTCATGACATTTACAACTGCATGATATGATGGTGGCCATAGTCTTTGAAGAGGATATTAAAACAGGATTTAGCATATTCTTTGAAGATGGATCTATACAGTAGTTAGTCTAAATACAAAATGGAACTTCCAGGTTCAAAATGACGTTCCTTTTCATGAGAGTTGCTGGACTATATGCAAACAGTGGTAGAGGATGGTTGCCTTTGGGCCTTGAAATGAGATGCCTAGAAACATTTAGTTGGCAAGCACTAGAAAGAGGATGCTGTACTAGATGCCCCCAGTCTTATCTAGAGGGGGCTCTTCTTCTGTTCTTGAAAGACAATGTGGCATAGTGTATGGAGCAGCAGTTCCCAAACATCCCCCCACGCAGCAGTGGTGTTGTTGGAATAGAATACCCAGAATCACTAGCCAATGCTTTGAGCTTCAGGGAGCTGAACTCTGTGTGTAGAACAAATTGGAGCATGACATAATAAGTGGAGTTAATTATGAAAGTGAGTAGCACAGGAGTGGGGAAACTTCGGCCCACATCATTCCAACTACCTATTCATTGGCCATGCTGTCTGGGGCGGGGGGGGGGAGTGTTACCCAAGCCAGCACAACTTCTGGGGAATGAAGTCCAGCAACATCTCAGAATCCAAATCTGGGGAATCGCAGGGATAAAAGTTGCACTGGGACTTTGGACACCCAAGTTCAAGATTT